GGATGTTTCTCAGCAGCAACGACTTGAGGACAGATTTGTTTACCAGAGAGTCTTTTTGGGTGTAAATTCTTGTCCAAAAAAAGCCAAATTAAAGTTGCCATGATTCAAGTTTAAAACGTACTTGGTGACGTTGGTGGACATTTTGGGGGACAGGATCATGTTGTTGGACACCAGAGTGTCATGTCACAAATCAGTAGTGAGTCAAACATCTGTGAGTGTTCATGAAGTCGTCAGTGCAGCTTGTTGAATGTTGTCCAACTCTTCGTGAAGGGAAGTTGATGGACATTTTTTGGGACAGATCATCCAGAGCGTTCCTCAGATGCTGAATGTCTGGCGGGTCTGCAGGTTGTGGTAGGACTGGAACTACTTATAGCAACTAGAAAACAGCAGTGGAGATTCTGGGGATACGAGGATGTATGTTGTCTTGTTGAAATGTCAAGCGATGGCGGCAAATGATCAGGACAACCACAGCCGTAAGGATTTTATCTTGAATCATTGAGCATTGAGGTTGTCATTGATGAAATGCAGACCTGTCCTATGTCCAGGGCGTATTCCTGTCCTCCTTACAATGTCGACATCCTCATTGCGTTCCCCCGGATGATGCCAAACCCAACATCTTCCACCTGCTGTGGAAAAGCATGATCCTCCATCTTGCTAGTTTCCAACGAACGTGAGCACCCAGTGGAGTCGGTTATGATGCCATTCTGCTGTTCAAGACCAAACCAGCATCCATCGGCGGATCCCTCACAGTTAGAGCCGACGCTTGGTGGTTGTTCAGGTGGTGACTGTTGTCATGCCGTGTTTCGTGGAGGACAAATGGTGGAGTTGTGGACATTGAGGTGCCGGTATCCAGCAGCCAACGTCTTTCTGCTGTCAGCTCTTAGCATTGTGTCATTGGATTAAAGCTGCATTTTATGGTGGACTTTCATAGTCACTGGTCAAAGGAGAGTCTCGTCACGCCTCCGAGCATCGTAGATTAAAACCACTTAACCAAGCTGTGGTTCAACTCAATGGTCGCGATTTTGTCGAGCAGCTCAAAACCTTTTTGTGCTTGAACCTTTCTCTAACCAGAACGATAGAAAAGAACGTTTGCATGCTGCATTCATTCAGTGTAGGTTGATATTTTGGGGTATACATTCTGTCTATAGAGTCTAAAGCTACAGCCAGGAGACGCTTAGCTTAGCATAGCTTAGCCTAGCACAGAGTCTCCAAAGTCAAGAAACGATGAGCAGCGGGTACATCCTGAACTGCTTTGTTCCTCCAGGACCCACGTCTTCATATAAACCAGATTATTTAAACACGAGAATTAAACGAGTTTTGTCTTGTTAGCAGCTGGCTAAGCTAACCGCTAGCTGGCTGTAGCTTCGTGTTGGTGGCGTCCCGTTAAACTCTTGGCGAGGACACAAACATCGCCCAGACGTCAGGTGACATTCACACCTGTGTCTCTGTAATGTTTGAGTTTTACTGCTAATTACATGTTCAGGTATGTTTCTTTATTCTCCTACTGGTGCAGATTTTTTTTAATTTTTCCAACTTCATTAAAGTTCGGCAGCTGCTTCATGACCGACTACGTGTGTTTTTGTGTTTGACAGTGCGGGTGGACAGAGCTTCAGTCAGCGTGTGGAGCGAGAGGAAACCTGATGCAGGTAAACTTATCCAGAAACCAGAACACGTCTGCTTTGAGTACAAGAGTCTGAAAACAGTCATCCTGTACGGAGGTTTTAAACATCCAAGAGTGAGGTAGCAGCACTTAAGTGCTAGAAAAGCCTTTTATTTATAGCCAGAGTTTGTTAACGAGAGTTTTGTTTGTGCAGGAAATGACGAGGAGAGCAGCGTGGTGTCCAACGAGCCGGATGTGGAGTACACCGAGGTGGTCCACCCGCGGTCAGCTGATCCTGCCAGAGGTCTGCAGTTCACACACACGATGATCTGAATAAATAAATGCTTGAACACACAATTAATAGTTTTTCTACATGAGATCATTTGTTGTTTTTAACAGATATGTCGATTAACAGATATTTATTTGTTTATTTACGGTAAATAGTGAAAATACATATAAAATATAATAATAATAAAAATAATAATAATAATAGGTAGATAGTTTATAGATATTGTACACTAATTAAAAAACTGCAAACAAAAATGGTAATAAATTTTTAAAAAAAGTAATGTCATAAAATACAGGGATTTTTTTTAACTAGTTCATTTTCTAACTTTGATTTTACATGATTATGTGTTTAGTTTTTTTGTATTTATTAAAGACTTTTCATAAGTAAAACAATTAAAATTATTCTAATATGATATACTCTGTAGACAAATGCAATTATAAATTATATGTCATGATTTTTTTTTTTTTTAAATGGTGTTTTGTTAGTGTACATTGATAAAAACCCATTTTTCTGTAATTCTAGAGGATAATTTACCAAACAAATTGTCACTAATTGTGTCTAATTTTAAAATAAATTGAAGCCTGAATCTCATCCAAGAAAAAAAAAGAAAAGAAAATATTCAGGAAGTTACGATAACATTACAAACACAGTTTAACGTTCCTGTGTTTATGTAGAATAAAAATAAAATGTTCTTTTTTAATAATTGACATTTTTTGTGTTTTTTTTCATAGTTACAGGTATTTATTGTTATTTATTAACTGGACGTGTGAATTAACATTTTTATTATTTAGAAATTTAACACAACAAAGTCCATATTTTTGAATCAAACTTTTAAAAATATGTAAAGAAACCTTCACAATGTTTTTTTTCCACTGCACAGAAGACAGTAGCTGTGTTGACGCTTCTTATTAAGCTTCGTTCTTTTTTCTTTTTTAACCTTTCTTCACATCCTGCTCTTCTGTTCAGACGTCTTTTAAACTCAGAGCTTCACTCACATTCCTCCACAGTCGATAAGACAGAGCAGCACTTCCTGGGAGGGGCCTAATTACCCCTAATTAATACATCTCCAGGTTGCAGAGATCTCCAGAAGCACCGCAGGCCTTATAAACAGGAAGGGTGGAGCTAATTACCCTCCTTCTTCTTCTTCTTCTTCTCCTTCTTCCTCCTCTGTGGCTGTGACTCAGCCTGCCTATTTTCAGGTTTCTGCTGATGACAGATCAAACAGACTTTATCTGCTGGAGTTTTGATGTTGAAGCTAATGTTGTTGTTTTCCACGTCGACAGCTCCGCTCAGAAAAGGCACCGACACGGTGTACAGCGAGCTCCAGAACTCCCCACATGGTGAGTTTCACACATCCAGCCCTGGTCAGGACTTTGTCAGACGTAGAAATGCATGAAAATGAACAAATAAACCACCTAAACCAAATGAGGCCCTGACTGGGGTTGAAGCTGCTCTGTTGTCCTGACCTCTGCCGACTGTTTCAGCGTCTCTCAGCTCGTTGTTCTGCTTCTCTGGCCGACAGATTTTCAGTCTTTCGTCAGCAGCACAACCGGGTTGCCTTCCCGTACGGCTAAACTGCATTCTCAGTTACTTTTTTGTTGGTTTTGTGCTGAAATAAACGTAATTTTTCAACTGTGACGTCGTAGAAAAGGTTTGAAAAGAGCCACAAAGTCGGCGTTAACGAGGTGGAAGGGGAGGACGGAGGAATAAACCAACTGGACAGTCAGACGTTTACAGACATCTCCTTAGTATTATGTCGCGTTGCCTTTAAACTGTAAGAAGAAAGTAGTAATAAAAACTCTCTCATTATTCTGGTGTTTAGCAAATAGAAATAATGTCGGTGATCCTGACTGACCTGAAACAGGAAACGTTTAGTCTGATTTAAGTGAGAAAAACAGAAGGTTTTATGTCTTTATATCCAGTGGATGTGAGCTTCTGGTATCCAACACACAATCTGACGAACTTAGAAATAACGCCACCGTCTGAAACGACCCCGAGTGACCTCAGAGTAAATCAGCAGCTACTGGTCG